AAGACAAACAAGAATCCTGGCAGAAACGTATATCTTGCATTAACAGCAACACAAATATATCATGGTTAAAAAAAAAAAGTTAAAAAATAAGGACAGCATACTTACCAACAAATCATAAGTCTAGAAAAAAAGGGACGTTCTCAGGTCCACAAATATCAAATGTAAATCTCTATTTTTTGCTTTTTTCTTTTCCAACAATTGTTCCAGTGTGTATATATGATCTATGCATGATCTTCCTGCCGTGAAGCGTGCCTGATCCTTCCCGGTTTTGCCTTTATTGCTTGCTCTATCTTTTCTCGCAGTGTCTTCCTGTATAATCTTCCTATTGATGGTATTACGCTTATTCCTCTGTAGTTTTCGCATCATTTTCTATCTATTTTCTTAAATATAAATGTCATATATGCCTCCTTTCATTCCTTTAAGAGCTGATCTCCATTTATGGCTTTCTGGAAGATCCATTTTATCATCCGGTTTAATTTTTTTGAGCCGTACTTTATAAGCTCAGGTGTAATGCCTCCAGGTCTCGGTGCGTTCTTATTTTTGATTGCTTTTATGGTCGTTCTTATTTTCCTATCTAGGAATTTTGGATTTCTATTTCTTGTTGTGGCGATCTGCTTCACCTGTTTTCGCCAATGAATTGTGGTCTTTGTTCTGTTAACAGTTCCTTGTAATAATCATTTCATTCTTTGTCCTGTATATTTTCCAATTTATTTTTTTCTTTTGGGTTTTGTTTCAATCCTCTCAGTAATTTCCATGACTCCGAAGTTCTTGTACCTCCTTTGTGTGTTTCAATATTTAAGCAGGTTCGTTCCCATTCTTTATTCTTTTGTTGTGTTATTTGTTTTTTCACTTCTCTATCTTTTTTTCTATATTCTTTATAAACTTCATCGTTGTTTGTAGGTAGCCATTTTCTGTATAGTTGCTTTTCTTCTTTAATTATTCTTTTGTTGGTTTATTTATTTCATAATAGTGCTGTTCATTTGTTATAATATGTTCTCTCTCTCTCTTCTTCTCTTTTATTGATTGCTCTTGGAGTAGTTCCATATTGTATTGTTTTTCTCCTATAGTGTTCAACGGTTCTTCTGTAGAGGGAGTCTTATTATGTTTACAATTAACTAGCGGACCAACTCGACATCGAGTTTTGATGTAAGTTTTGCTAATATTTAAGAGGGGCGTAGTCTAACGATCCATCGTTTCCGTCGCCTGGTGTAAATGTTCCAAAAATCCTAAAAATAAACTGTATCGACGCCAATTTTTTTAACTTGAAAATCGATACAGTGGTAGTTTTTTAGGATTTTCAGGAAGATTTACATAGGAAACGGAAACAATATGATTGTTAGGCTCCGCACCTCTTAAATGAAAAGCGGAAGTAAAACCGGAAGTAACTTTTTTTGCACATTTTAGATTGTAAAATGCCACGTTTAAGAAAAAGAACGCCGTTTGAGAACTAGCGGCCCCGTCCATATGCTCTGGAACACCGTGAAAGAAACCATAATTTTCAAAACTAAATCGCGTTAATATTTTAAAAATACATTGAAAATTGGGACCGTAAATTTTGAAGAATTAAACCTGTAAAATTCCTATACTTTACTATAGGAAAAATTCATTTTATGGCCGCCATTCTTAAACCGGTTCGATTTTTTTTTTAATTTAAAACCTTAGGGGGAATCTACTCAACAATCTGTTTAATTATTCGAAAAAAATATTCTCCTATCTATCACCGTTTAGGAGGAGTATTATATTATATTATAGAGGCGCACAAGAAAAGGGCTTAGCCTTTTAGTATAATATAAGATACCCATTTTTGCTCTCAGTAGTTTATAGTCAGTTCCACATTCACCTCCGCTTCTGACTCTCACATCTTTTATTTTTATATTTATGAATATTTTTATGTCTGAAGAATATATTTAATATAGTCGTAATATTTTTTTTGCTCTTATGTATGTTAAATCTGTAGACTACATTGCGTCGTCTGCATGATAGAGTAATTTTGCATTTAGTATTTTTTTGTTGACCCTTTTGATAAAATGTACAGGATTTAATGAGCCCTAACACCTTTCATAACTCCTGTCTTATTTTGTTGTCTATGTCTATAGATTTTATAAGTTGTACACCTATTCTAACTTCCATTTGGTTGTTTTGGTATAATTTTTCAATAGTTTTTATGATATTTATGGGGCTTCTTTAATATATAGGTTAATAGGTTAATAGATAGAGGTTAATAGTCAATTTAAAACAGCTAATAACAACCAAATTGTCATCATCATCAGTTGGCGCTACAGCCCTTCGTGAGCCTTGGCCTGCTTCAAAACATTCTTCTATCTTTCCCTATCGAGTGTCTGCCTTCTCCAGCCCCTCACTTCAATCTCCCTCAGATCTTTCTGTACATCGTACAACCAAATTGTAAACAATAATAAAAATCATATATTTAACAAGAAAGATGTTTGCCGCGCTATTCACGATGCCGTAAATCAACAAAAAAATTTAGATAAACAAAATTTAGAAGAAGCTGATGGTGAAAGTGAAAGAGATCTATAGGAAGAAGAAGGCATTCATGGATAAAAAACTTGTGAGAATGGTACAATTGCACCAATTACCAACTGTTTAGATCTGCAGCATCAAAAATACGAATAGCTTTGATGATAGCCAAACTTCGGAACGAAGACGGCACTTGAAGAAGAAGAAGATGGTGAAAGTAAGAGAGATGAGTGGTTGACTCAGAATCGTCGTAAACGTAGACGTCAATATTTAATTGGTGGAAATGAGATGGAAAAGTCGGTGGAGTCCGTTCCAAATTTGTGTTTCTGCATTTCACACGTCTTAAACCGCAAACAACCCCTGATTATTTACATAAAATGTTAGCTGTATCATTTCCTGAAGTCCAATGTATGGTACACAAATCAAAAATGCCTGAAGCATATAGTTCCATGAAGGTCACCATTAATCAAGAAAACCTAAAGAGAGCTTGGAACAAAGATGTTTGGCCAAAGGGTGCAGTGATATCTCAGTTTTTTGTGAAGAGGAGGATGCCAATGTAATTGGATACTCTTTAAAAAGTATTGGTAAATTTAAAAATTGTTTAAATGGATTCTAACTTTTAAACTTCTAATTTTCTTCTAACAACTTTAATAAATCAATCAATATCTTATCAACTTCTCCTCAAGTTTTCAAAACTGCAAAGGTAGTGCACCTGTTTAAGAATAAAGGCTCTATTGATGATTATAACAATTATCGACCCATTTCTTTGTTGCCCATCTTATCAAAAGTTTATGAACAAATTTAAAAAAATCAAATTAATCTACATTTTGAATCTAATAAACTGTTTGACATAAACCTTTACGGATTCCGAAAAAATAAAACAAAAACTTTAGCTATTGATCATTTCACTAGCAATGTTTTGGAAGGGTTTGACAAGGGTAGTATTCTGTTTAGAAAACTTCCTTATTATAATTTTCATAGTGATGCTATTCAGCTAATTGATTCATATCTATCAAATCGTGATCAATATGTTCACTTCCACCAGTGTAATTCTCAAAAACAATCTCTGTTGTTTGGTGTCCCTCAAGGCTCGGTTTTGGGTCCAGTATTATTTCTTATCTATATTAATGATCTAGTGTACTCTCAAAATGAAACAGTTAACACTGTTTTATTTGCTGATGACACTACTTTCTATGCTAGCTATCACCCTTCTGAATTGGACACCCTTGATTACCAAACATCTGAAAAAAACTTTATTATTCTAAGTTCTTTAATATTCTTAATTACTCTAAGAAATAACACTTGTGTTGAAAACGTTGCTCTACTGCAATGTGTAACCGGAGCGAAGTTTCTGGGGATATATTTGGATGCAGGATTAACCTGGGAACAATATATAGTTAATTTATCGAAAAAGCTTTCCCGATAACTTTTTCTCTTCAGAAACCTTGTATAAGTTACTTCCAGGGAAACTATTTTAACAGCTTATTATAGTAATTTTCATTTAATTAAAAAATTACTATGCTATTCTCTCCTGGGGCCACTCTTGTCATATTGATAGAGTGTTTGCACAACAAAGAAAGTGTGTTCGTATTATCTCTGGGCTCTCTTATAGAGCAGACTGTAGAAACTCCTTATAGAGCTTTAAAAATTTTGACTTTACCTTGTGTATACATTATGCAGTGGCTGTTGCACATTAAACAAAATCTTAGCCAATACAATGCGCATGTAGATTTTCACAATTATCCCACCAGATTTAACAATAATCTTATACCAGAATTTAGCCGTCTTGAGAGATCCAGAAATGGTTCAAGGTATTTAGCCATAAAATTCTACAACTTAGTGCCAGATAGAATAAAAGCTCTTGATTTTCATCAGTTTAAGGCAAAAATTAAGAGTTACCTTATAGTGAATGCCTTTTTTACACATGAGGAGTATTTTATTTCCGATTTTAATTTTTTGTAATTGTCAACAGTATAATTTAAAACAATGTATCTATGTTTTGTGTTTATATTTATGTGTATATTAACTATATTGACCTATATTTTATTTTCTTTGACTTGTAAACAATAATTTTGTATTCATTTATTACCAATAAACCATCTATCTATCTATATAGAAAAGGGATTACTTCTTCGAGTCTTAATCTGTCAAATGCTTTCTTCAAACAATCAGACGCAGAAATGCTGGCCTATTACATTCTACTGATTTATCGGTAATTTGCTTTATGAGGAATATTGCAACTGTGCGATGATCTTCCAGTACAAAACCTTGTTGTTTTTTATCTGCTAAACTTATTTTCTGATTTATTAGTTCTTGCAAAATTTCAGATTTTTTAAGTTTCAGGGTACTATTCAACAAGTTTATACCCCTATAGTTTTCTAACTGGTTTTATCTTTCTTTTTTGAATGGTAGGGTTAATTCGCTAGTTATCTATAACGCACTTTTGCACGTAAAATAAATAGTAGATAATAGTAAAACTTTATTTTAATATATATCTAGTGACACATTATACAGCCAATAAATTAATGACTTATAACACATTTGTCGTTACTCGAGCCATCTGCTTGGCACAATTGGAAGCTCACGAAGATATTTGCAGCTTGTCCTTCGAGTTTGTCGAAATCGTTAGCTAGGAAGAAACCAACTATGTGGTGGTTTTGAAGTTTGTATTCATGTTTGTCGCTTGATGAAGTTCCAACAAGAACGGAGTGACCGTTGCAGAAAGTAAATTTGAGACCTAAAACAAGAATTTTCTTTCATAAAAGATACTATACTTAAATCTAAAATGAGTTTAACACATTTATAATAATCATATTCACGTAAATATATTTAACTGAATAAATTACAATCTTGCATCAGTTCACAAAGATAATAAATTAAAAGGTGTAATATCTAGATTTATCTCTCCTAACTACCTAAAATTTATTTTTAATTCAGCTTCGAAAGTCCACTGCTAAATCTAGGCTCTTTTCTCGTGTTTCCAACTCCATCTATCTTGCAAGCTCTCATTCTGTTTTTTATTTTGGATTCTTAAATCGTTAGTCCATCATGTAGGTACTACAATGTGTATTTATTTGTAATTGTGTAATTGTGTAATTATTTATTCAGAATTGCACAATACAATCAAGTTAACAAAATCTAGAGATATTACTTACATTTTAGGAGACATGCAAAAATTGGAGTAGGTAGAGTTGAAAATATAGTTGGACAGTTCGGACTAGGAACTAGAAAGGAGAGAGGAGAAAGGCTCATAGAATTCTGCCAAGAAAAGAGTATGGTAATTGCTAATACTTGGTTCCAGCTTCCTAACAGAAGACTATATACATGGACGTCTTCTTCACATACAGAAAACCACATTGTCAGAAACCAGAAAGACTTTATACTCGTAAATAGCAAACATAAAAACTCTGTAACCTCAGCTAAAACTTATCCTGAAGCAGATGTTAACTCAGACCACAATCAGTTAGTGGCTGACGTGAATATAAAATAAAAAGAATTAAACTTAGAAAACAATAACCAAAAATAATGTAAGAATGCTACAAAACGAAGAAATTAAAAACGAATTAAAAAATAATGTGATTAACATGCAAAAAACACTAACTGACAACAAACAAATCATGGATGTAAATAAAAAGTGGTATAATATAAAAAACACTTTACTGAAACCAGCTCAAGAAAGTTTAATACAACATAGGTCAGAGGCTAAAAACAGTGGATAACAGAAGAAATACTACTACATATGGAAGAAAAAAGGAAATATAAAGGAAAAGATCTACAGAAGTATAAAGAAATACAACGAATAATTAAGGAAAAAATCAAAACAGCTAAGGAAATCTATTTGATGAAACAATGTAAAGAAATAGAAGAACTAGAAACAAAATATAATATGAGAAATATGCACAAAACAATAAGAAAAGTGACTGAAATGGGTCGAAATAGACAGCAGGGACACATAAAAGACAAAAAAGGAGTTCTACTAATAGATTTACCAGAGAAGTTAAGGCAGTGGGAGGAGTACGTTAGAGCACTTTTCCAAGATGAAAGAGGCGAAATGCAGAAAATACAATAATTAACTCCTTTAGAGAAACAGAAGATCACAATAGATGAAATCAAACATGCTGTCAAAAAAAACAATAAGGCAGCTGGATTAGATGAAATACCAGTAGAACTGTTAAAACTAGTGGAAGAGGATAACTTGGAAGTATTGGCATATTTATCCAACACGGTGTACGATACGGGAATAATACCACAAGAGTAGCTAAAGTCAGCATTTTTAACCATCCCTAAAAAAACAAGTAGCAAAAGAGTGCTCTGATTATCGAACACTGAGCCTCATAAGTCATACTTTAAAAGTACTGCTGAAAATAATACATAAGAGAATATACGAAAGGCTAGATGAGGATATTAGCGAGACGCAGTTCGAGTTCCGAAATGGAATAGGTACTGGAGAAGGACTATTTGCCATCAACATATTGATTCGACGATGTCGGGATGTAAACGTTGATCTACACTTGTGCTTCGTTGACTACGAAAAAGCTTTCGATAAAGTAAGACATGAAAAACTAATATCAATACTTATGAACAAGCGCATTGACAGTAAAATCATAAATATAGTGCAAACAGTATATTGAAACCAAAGTGTCATAGTTCAAATTGATGGGCAACACTCAGAAGAAAAGAATATCTGTAAAGGAGTTAGACAGGGACGTCTTTTATCGCCACTTTTGTTTAACTTCTATTCTGAAGAAAATTTCCAAAACACGCTCAATAATATCGAAGCGGGAGTCACTGTTAACGAAAAATTAATAAACGACTTAATATATGCAGATGACAATGTGATCATAGCAACGAGTATAGAGGATCTACAACATCTTATCGAAAGCTTGAGTATGAATAGTGTTGAGATGGGAATTACTATAAACGCTAAAAAAAACGAAGTACATGCTAATTAGAAAAAGACCACAAAATATACATCATCTATTGACAATCAATGATAACGTGATAGAACAAGTAGAAAAATATCAGTACTTGGGAACTTTGATCAATGAAACTAATGATCATATTGTAGAAATGAACAGGAATAGAGATTGCCAGATCAGCATTTATAATGAAGCCACTCCTAACGTGCAAAAATCTAAATTTGGAGATCAGATTACGTACCATTCGCTGTAATATATTTTCAATGTTATTACATGGAGCTGAGAATTTGCGACATAAAAAAAATGCAATTTAAAAAGAATCGAGGCTTTCGAACTCTGGTTATACCGCAGAATATTAAAAATATCAGGGACTGATGGAATTACAAAATAAAGAACTACTGGAGGAAATTTTGAACAGCTAAGAACAGCTGAAGACAGAGAAAAGTTTAAAATTGTAGTAGCCAACCTCCATTGAGGAGAGGGCACTTTAAGAAGAAGAAGGAGAGGGAAGGTAAAGAAACAGAACTAATCACCACTATACAAACCAGAAAACTGGAATAGCTGGCCCAAGTGATGAGGGGTCCAAAATATGAAATTTTGAGACTCATAATACAGGGAAAGATTCAAGGAAGAAGATCTGTTGGCCAAAGGCAGAACTCATGGTTAAACAATCCACGTGATTGGTATCAATGCAGATCGATTGATTTGTTCATCAAGTTCTAAAATAAAAATAGCCATGGTGATTGCCAACCTCCGTAGGGAGACGGCACTCTAAGAAGAAGCATTCTAATAATCTCTTTATCCATCGCCCATCTATCACTAGTTATTTATTCGATGCCAGTCACCTTGGTTGTTTTCCTGATATCTTCATTTTCTACCTATGAATCGTAGTTATTCCTAATATGGATAGCTTCATTATTTTTTATGTGCTTCTTAATCTGGTAGCTGAAGCTTTTATTAAGATTACTGTTTTGGCTATCAGATTATTAGGTTATATGGGTCGTATAAAAAATACTAATTACTTTTTGTGATTACTTATGATAGAAATATTGCTTTTTAAGCCTTATAACCATAAGTATTACTTTAATACTTTAATTTAATTTAATATTTTAATTTTTCCTAATAAATAGTTGTTAGGATTCGTATAGCTATATAATCTAATCATAAAAATGTTTGTTATTAAAATACATACCGTCAATTTGTCCCCAGCCATAAGCAATAACAGAAGTTATATGATTTCCATCAAACTCAATTATTTGGAAGTCAGGACTTACTTTCCCAGTGACACTTTTTTCGCCGTTTTCATATTCAACAGTAAGACCTAAAATTTTTATTTGAAATAAAATTTGTAAAAAACTGTTGAGTAAAAAATAAAAATAATTAATTATTTTATCGACTATTGATTAAAAATAAGAAAAAAAATCTACTGCCAACTATTGGCAAACGTATTCTCTACTAGGTCAGCAACTGAATGGTCTAGTCTGATTAAAATCACTGCGTTTGTTCTCTAGACTTGTCTATCTTTTTTTATTCAAGCTTATCTTGCCGTCCAAGTTTCTCCCGATTAGTTTCTTCTTGATGTTAGCACCCTAGAGACTGCTGGAAAATAGTAAATTTCGAAAGAAACAACTCAAGATCCAGTTCGGTACAACCTGATCTACCTTCAGACGAAACTAATCAATTTTTTTACTTTAATTGCAGATAATATAATTACATCTCTTCCCATTATTAATGTCGATGTCCCCTTCAATTAAAGAAATTATCTTTCTCCGATATCTTCAATACAACAGCTAAGAATACAATAAAATACAATATGATAATACCAGCAGAAAAAACCAAATGTATGACAACATCTAAATACCCACTAAGGTGTAAAATCGAAATTGATGGGAAAATAATACAGCAGGAAGCATGGTTTAGATATCTGGGAATAGATATAACTAGTTACGGAGATGTTGAAGAAGAAGTACGACAACAAAGCTTAAAAGCAAGTAAAGCGGCGGGTTCTCTTAATGACACAATCTGGAAGAACAAACACCTAAGACAAGACCCAAAAACAAGAATCTATAAGGCAGCAATTAGACCTATATCAACATACACGGCGAAAACAAGACCTGACACATCTAAAACGAGACGACTGCTAGAAATAACAGAGATGAAAATACTCCGACGAATATCAGGGAAAAGTCTATTGGATAGGGAGAGAAGCAAAAACATAAGAAGAGCATGCAGTATAGAAGACATAAATGGATGGGTGACAAAACGAAAACAGGAGTGAAACGAACACATCAATAGGATGGGAGAGAATAGAATAGTACGAATAGCACGAGATAAGTCACCAAATGGACGAAGAAGTATTGGCAGACCAAGAAAAAGATGGTGCGACTATTTAAACAAGTTTGGAGGTTAATATTGAAGAAAAAACAGGCTTTAAAGCCTACATACTAGAAGGAAGAAGACGAAGAAGTATCCTTTTCCGAGCTAGTCGTTTTTTTCGCCCCGTTGTGGAAAAACAGGTGTCTCAAATAATAAAGTCTCTTAGTACCTAATTCTAACTGTAGGAACGTTCACGAAACTAATGAAAAAATTTTAAAAGAAACTTACCAAATAGTTTTAAAACCTTTCAGTCACCTTATTAGTTCAATTCTATCAACTGGACTATATTCAGAAATACTAAAATACTTAAAAAAGGTGATTGCTAAAAAACTGACAATTACAGACCCATAAGCATTGTTTCTACTTTTGGGAAAGTGATTAAAAAGGTTATCAAACAACGATTTTATTCCTATTTTAAGTCTAACAATTACTTTGGCAACTCACAATATGGATTCAGAAGTTCTACTACGAACGCGGTATTTAATGTTGTGTGGTAATTGAGGAGCCTGAACGCGGCAATCGCATAGACATTTCTCTTTGCGACTTGTCAAAGCCTTTTGACTGCGTTTCACACGACATTTTGCTCCACAAATTAAATTACTATGGAATCAGAGGTATCCATCTTAAGCTTATAACTTCTTATCTATGCGGCAGACACCAGGCGGTAGTGTCTAAAGGTCATCTCTCCGATTTTCTATCCGTAAACATGGAGTCCCACAAGGTTCGGTCTTAGGACCTCTTTTGTTTATTATTTTTGTCAGCGATTTTCCTAAATTCATATCTCCGTATAAATACCAGAAACAAATAATGATGATTTAAAAATATCTCATGAGGAAGTTTCTGCTAAATCTAGCACATGTTGCGCTGCAACTAAAACTTACCTCTGATAAAACGCAAAATTTGATTATATCTACAAGTAATTTACACAATGATCCCAATAACAAAGAGACTGTTAACCTATTGAGAATAAGAATAACCATAGATAATCGACTGAACTAGCCGGCTCATATCCCACAACTAAAGAAAAAGTTTTCAAGTTTATTATTTCTTATTCGCCAACTACCAAGGGTTGTCAATTTTGAAACATTAAAAATGACATATTTTTCTTTATTCCACTCACACCTAAACCATGGTTTAATCATATGGGGCAATTCAACAAATGCATTTCAAATTGTTAGAATGCGAAAGAAAGCTATCAGGATTTTAGCAGGGGTTAGTTATCTAGTTATCTAGGAATAAGGAAAGCTGAGCAACGCTTTAGAACAGCTCGAGACAGAGACAGTTTCGCCATATTAATCGCCAACGTCAAGGGGACTTGATAGGACAGAAGAAGAAGTTATCTAGAACGCAGCCGACGTTTCTTTATCAAATTTAAAATTATGCCACTACCTACCCTGTTAATATTTCAAGTTCTAACTGAAATTCACAGAAAATGGGTCCCTTTAATAAAGCAGTCTGATGTCCATGTTCATAACACGCGAAAGTATCACTCATCATCTTCATAATTTTGGCTTTACAACCCTGTGTGGGTCCTAGCCTCCCCAAGAATTCTGTTTCAGTCGTCCCTATCCATCGCTTTCCTCCGCCAAGCACGTATTTCCATATTTCTCATATCTTGGTCTATGTTATCTAGGAATCTTGTTTTGGGTCTTCCTCTTTTTCTTTGACCAATAGGTCTATCAAGGAGCGTTTTTCTAGCTGGGTCGGTTTGCTCCATCCGCATTACATGGCCTACCCACCTCAGACGTCCTATCTTAATGTGTTTTACGATATCTTAATGTTTTCATTGCTTTTTGTTAAAGTCCAGGTTTCTGAACCATATGTTAGGACTGGGCGTATTATTGTTTTATAGAGTTTTACTTTTGTATTTCTTGATATAGCTGTAGATTTAAAAAGGAGATTAAGCCCAAAATAGCATCTATTAGCCGTGCAAATTCTGCGGTTTATCTCTGCGGTAATGTCATTTTCAGTATTGACGAGCGTTCCCAGGTATACAAATTCGTTAACTGCTTCGATGACGTCGTTTTCTATAACAAATGGTCGTCGTATTTGTGGTTGCGGACCTACTTTCATGTATTTGAAAACTATCACTACCTACGAACAAATCGCTGTAGATTTGTTCGTAGATCTTTCAAAATTGTTCAATTACGTTTATCAAACAATATTTTTACTGCTCAGAAGAATATATAACTCATTGCAGAGCATTCATTGAACTGCTTCCATATACTGCTTAATGCTTCCATAAGCCTGGTTGAAACCTCGATATCCTAAACCCACCAAAACGCAGGTCCGCCCTTTCCACCTAAGATCGAGTGAAGTCAAAAGAAAGCTAAAGCTTAACCTGGATAGAACACTAACTTATAAAGCCTTCTTCTTCTCCTTCTTCTTCTTGTGATTTCGATATCCACCTAGTTTTAATTCGTGAGAATGAAATAGGCACTGAGACAAAAGTAAAATAAATGATCCAGAAGAGAACTTCTACTTAACAACTACACTAATTACGGCATTATGAAACAAGAAATATTTGTATATTTTGTATACAGTTAGTTACTAAAATAGTAGTTTTAATGCTTACCAGAAATGACTGCATCACCAGATATTTTATCGTTTAAAGTATAAACAACAAGTGATACTGGTTGGTTGCGTTTATTGTTCACCAAAGCTGGTTTCACTGGTGGATCATGGTCTTCTGTAACCATTTGTCTGTGAAGTTTAGGTGTTGCTCTACCCCAGTATGTGGAGTAAAAGATGACATCATTGTAAGGCTCCTCTGTGCTTTCTGGATGCTCTACAATTGATTTCCAGAGCGGGAAGAACTGCAATCCATTAAGTACACAGTAACCTCGTACAGTTACAAGACCGTCATACAATAGTTCTGCATAACATGTTTTATATTCTAACTCAAGTCGAGCCTTGGTAAGTTCTGTAATGTATCCTATTGCTCCCGATTCAGGATCATTTATCAGATTGTCAGACCAAACCATAATGTGTTTGACGGCAGCTTCATCTAAACCAAGCTTATCACGGTTAACTATAGCAAACTGATTGATTTTAAGTCTTAAATTAACAACAGCACAATAATATGGAAGAAGTTTATAGGTCGGTTTGAGATTTTGTTGCTTTTCTTTTCGTTCAAGTTTAAACTTATTTTGGAAATCAACCAGATCTTCCAAAATGCTTAAAAATTTCTGCAGAGCTGTAGGTCTTCCTTCGTTTAATTCATGAATTACTGTTCTAAGTCTTTCTGCAATTTGGGCAAGATTTTTATTGATAACAGTTTGAACAAGCTCTTGCCTAGGGGCGTCTAACAAATGAAGTATCTAAAAGGAAAGAAAAACTAAATGTTAGATATTTTCCCTTACTTCTTCTTATTTGATAATACATCATAAAGACTAAAGAGGCACTTGCCAGGGTTGATTTCGGTGTCACGTTCAACGGAATTAAAATCAGTGATCAAATTTAGATGCAGAGTTAACAAAGAAAGAAACAAAAGATAACAAAAAACAAACAAACTGGACCTGGAATAACTGAAGATTCAGGAATGTAAGAGAATTTAGAAGAATATGTCGCAAATGAGTTAGGGACGCTAGAACAGCACTTAATAGAGGGCAAATGGAATAATAACAAAGCGGAGCATGGCTCGATGAAGAGTGCGGACAAGAAATAGAGGAAAGAAATGAAGCACACAAAATGTATATAACAAGAAGAACACGATAAAGACGAACATCATTTTCTACAACAAGTAGATATAGAAGATGAAATGGGTACGAACTACGTAGAAGAGAATGAAGTAGAGAATAGAGCAGAAGCTCCAACCATAGAGGAAGTTTTTGAAGCTATTAAGGCCCAGAAAAAAAATATAGCCCCGGGAGTTGGCGAAATACCAGCAGAATTGTTTAAAGTAGGTGGCGATCACCTAGCAAGTCACATCCACGCGCTCATCAAAAACGTATGGCAAGAAGAGAAAATATCCGACGACTGGAAAAAAAAGTATAGTATGCCCGATCTATAAAAAAGGAGACCAATTCCAGTGCAAAAAACCACCGTGGAATTTCTCTACTATATACAGCATATAGTCCTCATATATTCAATAGCCCTCAATATTCGAGAATATTAGAGGGGCTTTCGACGGGGAAGATCGACACTGAATCAAATATTTACAGTCAAGCAGATCTTGAGTAAATCATGGGAACATGACCTTGACGTTCACAACGTGTTTGTAGACTTCAAACATGCATATCATCATCAATCAGCCAATCACGTCCACTGCTGGACATAGGCCTCCCTCAGTTCTTTCCAGTGTTCTCTACACTGGGCCGCTTGTAGCCAGTTTCCCGCTACACGTTTAATGTCATCGGTCCATCTAGTCGGTGGTCGTCCTCGGCTTCTTTTATAATTTCTGGGCCTCCATTCCATAATACGTCTTGTCAACCGTCCATCTTGTGTTCTGGCTAAGTTGTTTTGCCCAGTTCCACTTAAGCGTCGTGGTTCTTTCGATGACGTCTTGAATTCCTGATCTTCGCCTGATTTGTTGGTTTGTTATGTGGTCTCGAAGGCTCACGTTCAGCATTGCACGTTCCATGGCTCGTTGTGTAACTCTAAGTTTATTGGCAGATTTTTGCGTGAGTGTTAAAGTCTCTGCTCCATAAGTTTGTACAGGTATAAACACATTGGTTATAAACCTTTCGCTTGAGACACATGGGAATTGAACTTTTTAGAATATGGCTTAATTTGCCAAATGCTGCCCATGTTAGACCTATTCGCCTCTGTATTTCATGTGTTTGATTGTCTCTGCTTATTTTGATTTCGTGTCCCAGATATTTGTAAGTGTCTGTTTGTTGTATGGTATTATTGTCAATAGTTATATTTCCACTCATTACGAGATTTGTTATAATTTTAGTTTTCTCAAAGTTTATCTTTAATCCTGCTCTTTCAGACAGACTTTTAAGCGAATGCATCATAGTAACTGTATCATGTAAGTTATCTGCGATTAATACATCATCTGCGAACCTTAGATGATTTAATCTTTCTCCATCTATATTGATGCCCATATCTTGCCATTGAGTACCCTTAAATATTGACTCTAGAGCTGCCGTGAACAATTTTGGTGAAATATTGTCTCCTTGTCTAACTCCTCGACCTAAGCTGAATTTTTCTGTGTCTTCGTGCAGTCGTATACTTGATGTAGCGTTCTGATAGATGTTTTTGATTAGTGTCGTGTACCTGTAATCTATTCGGCTTTGATTTAGGGCTTCCAGTATTGTTTCAAACTCTACAGAATCAAAAGCCTTCTCGTAATCGACAAATGCAAGAACCTCGAATGTTGTACTCGATGCACTTTTCTATTAAGATCTTTATGGTATGCAAATGGTCATTTGTGCCATATCCTGCCCTGAAGCCTGCCTGTTCTTTGGGCTGATAGAAATCAAGTTTAGGTGTTAGCCTCTTTGTTAAGATTTTCATAAAGAGTTTGTACATATGTGTCAAGAGGCTGATGGGTCTATAATTTTCTAATTTAGTAGTATCGCCTTTTTTGTGTAACAAGACTATTACTGCATTGTTTCAGTCTTTTGGAATCGTACCCGCATGTAAGCATTTAGTAAACAGTTCGCTTACTGATTTTAATAAAATTTCTCCACCTGCTTTTATTGCCTCAATAACGAGTCCATCATCACCAGGCGATCGATGGTTCTTCATTTCCTTTAAAGCTGCTCTTACTTCTGACACAGTAATGGGTAAAAGTATTTCCGATCCCTGATTTATGAGAGTCTTTACTCGTGTCGGGAAATTGTCTTGTGGTCTTTGGCTGGTATAGAGGTCTTTATAAAATTCTCTAGTTATTTTCAGAATGTTTTGTTTATCTGTTGTTGCCTTTCCGTCTTTATCTCTCAGCTTGTATATTTCTTTTTTACTTTGCGTAAGTTTTCTTTTCATTATCTTTAAACCTTTGTTCTCTTCTACTGTTTGAGTAATTACATTAGTATTATATCTTCTTACATCTTTTCTAATTTCCGCTGAAATTCTTTTATTTAGTTTTTTATATTCTTCTCTGTTTCCCTTTTCGTTCTCGCTTAGGTTTCGTAGTATTTCCATGAGAGCCCTTGTATCTTTGCTAATGCATATGACTCAGTCAAAAGAAACAATCATTATCAGCCTCTCTCAATCCACTGCTGGACATAGGACTCCCCTGTTTGTCTCCAAAGTGTTGCTTGCTGTATTGAGTTTTTTGTTGTCTTTCGTAAGTCTTCTTGCCATCGTGTTGGTGGTCTTCCTCTGCTACGTTTATCGGCTCTTGGTCTCTATTCATCTAGTTTGCGAGTCCATCTTCCGTCCTTCATTCTGTTGGCTGAATTGTCAATACCACATAAGCTAATTAGATTCATTAAAGCTACAATGAATGAAACTCAGGCATGCATACGAATACAAAAACAACGGCCAGACTTTTTCAAAATTTCGCAGGGACTAAAGCAGGGAGATGGGCTCACGCCAACTTTGTTTAACCTGGCACTAGAGTATGCGGTTAGGCAAATGCAAACTGGACGAGAAAACCTACTGACCAAACGAATGGTTCATCCGGCCGCTTATGCCGATGATAATAATATTATAAGTAGAATATCAACAAGAGCACAGAAAACATACACAGAATTAAAAACGCAAACAAAAAGGCTAAGTCTAGAAATTAACACAGAAAAAATAAAAATAATAATACAGAAGAGAAGAAATACGGATGGGAATACATCCGAAACAGAGCTTATTTTGCTCTCTCATGTATAATTGGGTCTAAAAATGTTCACCGAAATACAAAGATGAGAATCTATAAAATCTTAATTTGACCAATAGCATGCTATAGCAATGAATCATGGGTCATAAAAGAAACGTCCAAAAGCAAACTCAACACATTCAAAACGAAAATACTAAGGGGAAAACTAGGACCTGTGAGGAAAAACGGAATCTTCAAAAGTCGATAAAACAACAAGCTTTATCAAATTTATAACTAAGCACCACTGTCAGACTGCATTAGAATTCAAAGATTGCAATCTGCCGAACATGTGATAAGAACGGGAGAGGATAGGCTACCAAAAAGAGCACTGAATGCTAGAATGCAAGGAAAGAGACCGGTTAGAAAGCCAAGAAAGTGCTGGGAAGACATAGTAAACAGCTACGCACAAGCCCTTTTAGGAGTCCGTGTATGGAGAAGATTTTCCTACTTTTCTACTGCATACGAAAGCTGAACTCTTCACCTTTAAAACGAATCTTGAAATATATATGAAAGCTGAACTCTTCACCTTTAACACGAATGTCAAAATATATCGAATTTTTACTGTCGATCTGATACAAATTTTATTTTTTGACAACATTGATTTAAACATTGATTTCGCGCGCGTAACTGACATGCAAAATCGACGGTCGCATCAACCGCTGTCTCTAAGAGAACGGTTTACTTTATATTAAACCAAAAACTTTAGAAAACTCTGACCAGATTAGTCTAGTTAATATTTTACATGTAAACACACAAAGTTTATTAAACAAAATAGATCAGCTTAATATTTTTTTGAAAAATAAAAGATACAATATATTATGTTTCTCTGAACACTGGCTCAGAGAAAATGAATTAACAACATTAAAGCTTGATGGGTATTTTTTGTCAACTTTTTATTGTCGGAAGGTAAGGGAACATGGAGGTGTTGTAATTTTTAGCGATAATAAAATCCCTACACGACCAATTTGCTTAAATGATATGTCATGTGAATTTGAGGGTGAATTTTGTGCATTAGAAATTATAGATATTAAAACTATTTTAGTAACAGTGTATAGAACCGGAAATGGAAATTTTAAAGTTTTTCTAGAGCTATTTGAAAAGTTATTGGAGTTTTGCTCTGCTAATTTTTTAGAAATAATAATAATTGGAGATTTCAACATTGATTTTAAAAAAGCTTCTAATGAATTAAACAGTTTCCGTGATCTAATTTCTACTTTTGGATTAACCATAAATATTAATGAATTTACTAGAATCACAACTAGATCAGCAACTTGTTTAGATAACATCTTAACAAACATAAGCAGTGAGATAGTTGGTTGTGGAATTGTGGACCCTTGTATTTCTGATCATCATGCACAATTTCTCTACTTAAAAATAAAATCTGAAAAAAAAACATAGTGCTAATCCTTACAGAAGACATATAACAAGTAATGGCATCCGGATGTTAAAACAGTCGTTAAACAACGTTGACTGGGCTTCAGTTGTTTCTCTTAAAACAGCAACAGAATTAGCTCAATTTCATTACCGAAATGTATGTAAAGTTAACTGAAATTAATTTTCCATTAAAAAAATCACGAACTCATAGTAAAGCTCCAATCTCTTGGTTTGATGATGAACTAATAGAAATGCGAAATAATCTTTCCACAGTAACTTGCTGATGTTACAAAGGAATATAGTGAGTATAAAAAAATTTAAGAAGCACTATAAATCAACAATATCATTAAAGAAAAAACTGGCTTATGAAAATTTTTTTTCCAATTCTGAAAATATATCTCGTGATAGTTGGAAAGTTATAAATTATCACAGAAATAAATTTCAAAATAAAAAAGTCTGTCCAAGCGCGATTACATCAAACGATTTCAATAATTACTTTACTTCAGTGGCTAAACATATTATACTCTGTTTTTTAACCAGGAGGAGTAAACCAAAAAGACAGATTCACACCCAAGAAAGTTACTAGAAAAGTCACCAAATACATCTTCTTTTTTGTTGATTATCTCGGCCTTGCGGTAATCGAGTAATCAATATCGGATCAACCTCACACGTCAATTTTAACCTAACTTTATTAAATTTATGTTTGAATAATAAAATAATTTTTTTCAATTCACTTCCAATATATATATTACAATTATTACAATAAAAAAGGACGTTTTTCACATTTGGTCCCATGTATATATATTTAAATATCGAGTGATTCAGTTTTATAGATCTCTTGAGTCTATGGTATTTAATTATAATTTAGAGAATAGTTTGATCGAGAGAGTCATATGTTACAGATCTAAGTATGGTTTTTCTCAGAAATTTGTCTTTTAATAGTAGACCATATTCTTATTCTGGTATGATCAATTTCTTGAATCTAGTTTTTTTTTCTTACCAGATACTTTCTATAAATATCTAAGTGTGTGTACTTACAATTTTTTTAATGCTGGATTCTTGTTTAATTTTGACAGTGAGTTTGTCTCATTTGTTATCAACAAATATAATTTACTAAAAAATACTGGATTTCTGTGAGATAATCAACAAATCCAATCTATTATGTTACATTCTTGCATAGTTTTGTAGTTTTCTTGTGATAATCTACAATCAGGAAGAACAAAACCAACTGTATCAATACAATCAAACTAAAACACAACATTACTTTACTAATGTTTTTTTATTGTGATAAAAACAAAATGGAAATGCTTCTTAACAAGTATACACTAAATTTAAAAGATAGTTGCCGTTTTTCTTATGATAATTAGATATAAATAACATACATTTATAAATTTATAAAAACTTTAAACTATATTTGGTATAAATAGTATCTAGAAAAATATCACATTAAATACTATTCGCATATCACCAAGTCCAAGTTATTACAAACAACTTAAAGAGTCAGAAATCGATTTATATATTAGACGAAAATAATAATAAATAAATTTCACAAATGTCATTAGTGTCAATATGTCATAATTTAGTGGAGTGAACTTGCCTGCGGTTGGACCAATTGCAAACAAGCATTGCGGCGCGAAAAATTTGAATTACTCCTCCTGGTTAAAAAACAGACCATAGAAGTTCTTTTAATTCTACAAATGAAAATGTAGCCATAGATTTTTTGAAAGATGTACACTCTCCTTGCAACTCTTTATTTTTATTACCTGTTAGTGATACTGAAATCAGGAATGTTTTGCATAGATTGAAAAATTCACACTGCACGAATTTTTATTTCTTAAACAAAAAAATAATTGTGCAAACAATCGATATTATTATTGACAAATTAATTATACTTTATAATAATTGTCTTACTGAGGGGATTTTCCCAAATGTTTTAAAAGTAACAAAAGTGCTACCAGTGTTCAAAAAGGGAGCTTTAGATGAAATTGGAAATTACCGTCCCATCTCAATCATTCCCATTTTCGGCAAAATTTTTGAGAGTATTCTAAATGTTCGTTTGGTAGAATATCTAGAAAAACACAAAATACTTCACTGTAATCAATATGGCTTTAGAAAAAAGTGTAGCACTACACTAGTTATACAGAAAATTGTGAGAGATATAGTTGATGGCTTGGAGGAAGGTCATTTTGTGTCTTTGACATTATGTGACTTATCCAAAGCTTTTGACTGTGTTTCGCATGAATTACTGTTGGAAATAATGCATAAGTACGGTATTAGGGGAAACACTCTTAATCTATTTAGATCATACCTAACAAATAGAAAACAGGCAGTTTTTCTTAATAGCAGCTATTCTGAGTTTAACACTGTCGAATATGGTGTACCCCAAGGTTCGATATTAGGACCCACTTTGTTTCTTATTTATCTGAACGATTTATTTCACTACACTTTTCCTATAAAATGTGTTTGCTTCGCAGATGATACAACTCTCATAAATACTGATATTAATCAGAATAATTTAAAAATTAAAATAGATAGTGATACCAAGAAAGCAAAAAACCGGTTCTCACATAATGGGCTAAAGCTAAATGAAGAGAAAAATCAGAATTTGATTTTTAGTTCTGATTGGAAGTATATCTTAAGAAATAGTGTTAAACTATTAGGAATCTTTATAGACGATAATTTGGACTGGAGTGCTCATATAGATTACTTAAGTTCTAGACTTGCTACAAGTATATTTTTAATACGCAACTTAGTTTATATGATTCCTAAAATACCCTTAGAATGTGCTACTTTGCACTATTTCATAGCCATTTACAGTACGGAATAACTGTTTGGGGTAATTCTTCTTACGCAGATCGAATTTTAAATTACAAAAAAGAGTAGTGAGGATACTTGCAAGAGCAGAGTATAGGGAACACTGTAAACCTTTATTTCTGGATTTAGGTATTATGCCACTACCTTCACTATATATATAATATATATATATATATCATATAAATATATATATAATATATATATATATGAGACGCTGATTGAAATTCATGCCAACAAAGGTAAGTTTAACGTAAACTCCAACGTCCATGATCACGATACAAGTTCTAGAGATGCTATTAGAGCACAACGTTTTAGGTTGACAAAGAGCGTAAAAAATTCGACTGACGTTAGTTTGTATAACTTTTTGCCAGATGAAGTAAAAAGTCTTCACTTGTTATCATTTAAGCATAAAATCAAATCACAATTTTTGAAACATTGTTTCTATTCAAAAACGGAGTACTTAAGTACAGCTTTTACACAATAGTACTAGTTTGGTCAAGGCAGTTGCCTATTATAATTATATTTCATGTTTTTTTTATAATTCCACAAAGTGTGTTTGTCGTTTTTTTAACTGTTAATATTAAATACATACATGTTTGTAATGTTTAAATTATCCAAAAATAAATTTTATATGTTTTATAAGTATTGTCACTATTCCTTTGACTTGTCAAAAACAAAACTATTTTTGTATACTGATTAAATAAATTCTATTCTATTCTATTCATATATGTCTCAACAAACTAAAATTACAGGAACTAATTAAATGGACCGCTAGGAGAATGTTAAATCTTTAGGTGTGCTTAAATACATTGTCATATATACGTGCATGCATATACATGCATACGTATCATGCACACCTGCTACGATTAGGTACTTACAACAGAGTTGATTTTGTCCCACAGTGACTCTTGGTTTTCTGGCCAGAAAATATGTAAAATTTTTGATAAATCATCTGCAGCTTTCGGTATGACTGCTGCTCCAACTGAAGTAAGTATTTTGGAAATCAGATTAATATCAATTGGAATAGAAGAGTCGCTATTGTCGTAGAAAGGGTAGCCGGTGACTTGGCAGCAATGTACATAGCCTCTGCGGTCCTCAGTATTGGTTAAATCCACACCTACAAAAATATGTGAAATTATAATAGGTATATTAGTTACAGTATATAAGTGTTTTAATGCCTTCCAGGTTTGAATTATCTCTTTTTATTTGAAAAAAAGTGTGGCTAAACGCAAAAAGTTAACAGTCAGGGGAGGTATTTATGCATAATAACCTAAATTTTTAACGTATCTAAAGAAGTCACACACTCTTAAATAAGATTTTTCGCAAAAAAGGCACGAGGACCATTTTTCTACTATCCAGGAATATTTCAGAATATTTTTCTGCTTCACTAGGACTTCAACTTCAAGGCCGAAGTTCGGGCCAGCAAAACATCATCTGCAGTTGGACCTTTTGAACTAGAAAACCGGAACGGCCGGGAAGATACATTGGATATTTTTGCGGAAGCTAATTAATTAGTAATAATGGACATCTGATTTAAGCTACACTCAAGGAACTTGTACACCTGGAAATCTCCACAGGATTCTGTGGGAAGGATTGTAAGAAATCAGATTGATTACATGCTAGTAAATAAAGAGGTATAGGAACAGTTATACATCTGTCAAAACATTCTTGAGAGCAGACATAAATTCTGATCAAGCACCAGTAGTAGGTAATTTCAAAGTCAGGTTTAGAAGGTTACAAGTAAGTCGGTGAAGAAGTATGGTGTTAGAAAACTAAAAGATCCCAATGTTTGACTGAAGGTGAGTGAAAACCTCAATCTTCTTCTTAGAGTGCCGTCTCCCTACGGAGGTTGGCAGTCATAATGGCTATTTTTATTTTAGAACTTGCTGCTTTAAATAAATCAATCGATCTACATTGATACCAATCACGTAGATTCTTTAACCATGAGTTCTGCCTTCGGCCAACAGATCTTCTTTCTTGAATCTTTCCCTGTATTATGAGTCTCAAAATTTCATATTTTGGTCCCCTCATCGCGAGGCCCAGTTTTCTGGTTTGTAAAGTGGTGATTAGTTCTGTTTCTTTACCAACCCTCTCCAGTACTTCTTTATTTGTAATTCTATCAGTCCATGATATTTTCAATACTCTGCGGTATAACCAGAGTTCGAAGGCTTCAATTCTTTTTAAATTACATTTTTTAATGTCCAAGTCTCAGCTCCATATAATAATATTGAAAATATATAACAGCGAATGGTAATCAAAGTTCCCAAGTACTGATATTTTTTACTTGTTCTATCACGTTACCATTGATTGTCAATAGGTGATGTATATTGTGTGGACTTTTTGTAATTAGCATGTACTTCGTTTTTTTAGCGTTTATAGTAATTCCCATCTCAGCACTATTCATACTCAAGCTTTCGATAAGAGGTTGTAGATCCTCTATACTCGTTGCTATGATCACAGTGTCGTCTGCATATCGTAAGTTGTTAACTAATTTTCCGTTAACGCTGACTCCGGCTTCGATATTATTGAGCGTGTTTTGGAAAAATTCTTCAAAATATAAGGTAAACAAAAGTGGCGATAAAAGATATCCCTGTCTAACTCCTTTACAGATCTTCTTTTCTTCTGAGTGTTGCCCATCAATTTGAACTATGGCACTTTGGTTCCAATATAATGTTTGCACTATATTTATGATTTTACTGCCAATGCGCTTGTTCATAAGTATTGATATTAGTTTTTCATGTCTTACTTGAAAACCTCAATAGAAAGGTGCTAAAATGCAGAAATGCAGGAACTATAGGGGAAAGTCTGACCATCGTACAAGAAACAGTGAGAGAAATAAAATGGCAAAATCAAAAAAAATCTCCAAGAATATAAGAGAATACATACTATCATCAGAAGAAAGATAGGAGAAGCCAAAGAGAAACAAAAAATATAACAATGTCAAGAAATAGAGAAGCATCAGAGTCGATTCGATAACTTCAATGTCCATCGAAAGGTGAAAGAAATAGCTCAAAAGTTTCGAAAACGTAACAGAACTGGAAGAAAATTTTCCACGACCTTAGAACAATACAAAAACTCACAAGTAGAAGATAATATGGACTGGATATTCTTCTTTAAGTTCCATCTTCTATCGAAGGTTGAAAATCATCATGGCTATGCGGACTCTGTTGACTGCTGCTCTAAAAAGTTCTGCACTACTGCATTCAAACCATTCCCTTAAGTTCTTAAGCCAGGATATTCTTCGTCTTCCCACATTTTGCTTTCCTCGGATTTTGCCCTGCATAAGTTGTAATAATGCGTATTTTTGCCCTCTCATCACATGTCCCAAGTACTCAAGTTTTCGTCTTTTAATAGTTAATATTATTTCCGCCTTATTTCCTATCCTTCTAGTTACTTCCATGTTTGACATTCTTTGAATCCATGATATTCGTAGGATTCTTCTGTAACACCAAAATTCAAAGGCGGCCAACTTACTCAGATGAACTTGTTTTAGTGTCCAAGCTTCCAGGCCATAAAGAAGAGTAGAGAACACGTAACATCGAAGCATTCTCAGGCGTAGTTCTAACCTTATATCCCGACAACAAAGAAACTTTTTAAGTTTAATAAATGATGTACGTGCTATTTCAATACGTGTCTTAATTTCTTTGGTTTGGTCTACATCTGATGTTATTCATGTTCCTAAGTATTTATAGTTATTAACACTCTCAATTGCAGTATCTTCAATAGTCAATTGGATATTTGCATGTGCAGATTTAGTCATGATCAAGCATTTAGTTTTCTTTAAATTTATCTTCAGTCCGTACTCATGACAGCGTTCATTAAGGCGTTGCATTACGTTCTGTAAATCATTGTTGTTATCCGTAATTATTAGTGTATCGTCTGCAAAACGTAAGTTATTCAAAACTTCTCCATTTATAGATATACCTTCTATTGAGTCTGAGAGCGCTTCTTGAAATACCGCTTCACTGTAGACATTGAAAAGTAGTGGGGACAGCACGCAACCCTGGCGGACTCCTTTCTGTATTTTGATATTTTCGGTGTACTGGCTGTCAACTCTTACCTTGGCAGTTAGATTCCAATATAAATTAGATATAATTTTCAGATCACGACTGTCAATATTTTTGTTTTTTAATATATCTACAAGCTTTTTATGTTGAACTTTATCAAATGCCTTTTCAAAGTCTACAAAACCTAAGTAAATATCCTGATTTATGTCCATGCATCTCTGAGCCAGCACATTCAAGCCGAACAAAGCATCTCTTGTACTCATACCATCTCTGAAGCCAAATTGTGTGTCACTAATCTCATATTCAAGAGTTTTAACAATTCTGCTGTGAATTATTTTCAAAAATGTTTTAAGTGTGTGACTCATTAAAGCTATTGTTCTGTGGTCTGAGCAAGTTGTTGAACTTGGTATTTTGGGAATTGCTACAAAGGTTGATTGCAGCCATTGTCTGAGTCATTGTGGCAGTCTGATATATTAGATTAAAGAGTTCAACCATTACATCAATAACATCTTCATCGATGAGTTTTAATAATTTGATGGGCACCTCATCTGGTCCAGTAGCTTTACCCTCTTTTGTGTTTTTGATGGCATAGATGACTTCTTCTCTTAATATTGGTGGTTCAGTATCCTCGGTGATTTCTAATGACAGTTCTTCTCTTTCGTCATTAAATAGTTGTTGAATGTAATTGGTCCAGTGACATAATCTCTCCTTCATATCAGTAATAATATCCCCTTTTGTACGCTTTCTAGAACCTGTCACTTCTTTGATTTTTTTGTGTAAATTAAAGCTATCGTACTTTTTATCCAGATCTTCTATTTCCTTGCATCTATCGGAGAGCCACCTCTCTTTTGCCTCTCGAATTTTCTTTCTGATGTTTCTTTGAATTTCTTTGTATTTATTCAGGTCTTTTGCTTTATGTTTTCTTCGTTCTTCCATGAGTTCAAGAATTTCTACTGTCATCCAAGGTTTTGTTTTTTCTTTAAGTGGTTTATGGACTGGACTGGATATAAACACCAGCAAAACTAAGCTAATGATCATCAGCAAGGAAAACATAACTGGAGCAAATCTGTATGTGACACAAACGACATTTAAAACGTTTCTCACAGTACAACTACATGAAAACTATAGTCAATGAGTCGTGGGACAATAAAGAAGAGATAAAATGTCGGATCGGAAAGGTAAAAAGTGCATTCTTGTCTATGAACTCTGTGTTCAAGAGTCATAACCTTACCCGAGAAACAAAAATAAGGCTTCTTCAATGTTAAGTGTACTCCGTGCTTGTGTACGGAGTAGAAACGTGGACATTAAAAACGAAAACTCTATCAAAGCTTCAGGCTTTTGAGCTATGGCTATACAGAAGGATCTAAAGATACCATGGACAGACAAAGTCACCAATGAAGAAGTACTGCGGAGGATAAACACAACTGCGGATTTGGTCAATATCGTAAGGGGCCGTAAGCTGCAGTACTTGAGACATATGATAAGAAATCAAGGCAGATATAAGTTGCTTTAATGCATTTTGCAAAGTAAAATTAAAAGAAAAAGGGCCCCAGGACAAAGAAGGATATGCTTGCTTACTAACCTAAGAAAATGGTATACAAAGACCTTAACACAGCTATTCCTTATAGCAACCTACAAAGTCATCATAGCCAGAATGATCGCCAACGTTCGGAACAACAGGCACCCTAAAAAGAAGATCTGCAAAAAATGATTTACTGACTAAAAATTACTGACAAAAATACTAGGTTTATTATTATATCTAAATCTAGTAAATTTAAATGTTTACCGAAACTATATAAAATTCCGTTACCTGAAACAAGGCACTTGCTTTTGGACATATCGATGTAAGCTTCTTGACCAGGTTCTAATGTTATAGTTTTGACATTTCTGGTCCACAAAACCCTTGTTCCTGCTTTAACAACTACCTTCACACGAGTTTTACCAACATTGTAAACGTAGTAGTTAGTGTGGTAAGTTGGTAGGAGTATTCCTGTGTCTTGTTGGGAAACAAGTCTTGTAGACATGGGATTTAAAGTGAAGATATTGCAGTTGTATTTCGGCATTTTAACACTTGTAATCTGAAACTAAAAAATTGTCATTTTATTTTGAGAAGGCGAAAGAATTGCCATTTCATTTGTTAAGCGAATGTAATTAATAAATAATAAGAATCATATAATAACGTTCCTTGGCTTCTTTATTATTGTAATATGTACAGGGTTACAAATACGAAGTCAGCGGCTGCAGATTTTTGTTAAGAGACTTTTGAGGAAAATTGACTGACAAAAGAAAAGCAAATCCTTCAAGAATGTAATGAGAATGTAAAAATTTCTTATGCACAAGTCAGTGTAATTAACAAAGATGTCTTAGTTTGTAATATTCATGGACGCAGAAAATGAAGTCGATCAAAGAACACGTCGAAGAGATAGACGGAAAAGAAGGCATAGATAGCGGTTAGAAGGTGGAAAAGAAAAATCTTCGATAGAACCGGGATAAATAATATTATCATGTTAACTTGCATTTTCAAACCTGATGATGGAATTATTATTCCGAAAACGTTCGTGTAATTTGATGTAGGGTTTAAGGGTTTAAGTTAAAAGGGTTTAAGGGTTTTTTAAATATACCCATTTACAAAGATCTAACCTCTTTTTTGTGATACGTGCTATACAGCCAGCTGTAGGAATTATTTTCCTTGTGGATTGTTTTAAATAATATTGTTTATCCAGACAGTCAGACTGATATCATACTAACTGTAAATTATTTCATCACTTAGATGAATAATTCATCTTGTAGTGTACATGTAGAAGAAAATAGATGGATAGGCCAATAAAAGCTCTTATGGTTACGTAATGTTAGGCAGTGGACATCAGTGGACAGTCAGTAAAAAAATATTTCGGAAAATTATACACATAATGACTACAAACATATGAATATGGATACAGTACCAAAAGAAGAAGAGAAAATAAGATAGTATTCCGTAACAACTTTAGCTGTAATGAAAAGTGAAAACAACATTAGGCTGACTGGAAATTAACTGATCCTGGCAAGATATAAACAACCGGCCAGTATAGAAGACAAATGGAATTATATTAAAAAAGCTATCGCAACCACCACCAAGTCTCTGATCGTTTCCCAAAAGTACACAAATAGTACAAAAAGAAAAATTGGATGACTGACGAAGTATTATCAATGATGGACGATCTTAGATCAATTTGAAATAAACACTAAACCAAACATCAGCAGATTAACAGACAAATACTAGTGGCTGCTAGACAGGTGTGCAGAAATGAGCGAATTGAAAAAAAAACATGACCACTTTAACATACACAAACTCCTTAAATAATGACAGGTCATACAAAACCTTGAAGTTTTAACAGTTTTGTGAAGGACAACAAATTAATTACTGATCCCAAGGATCGACTTCAACATTGGAAAAACTACCCACAGCAACTATACTCGACAACACTGGAAGAAACTCCGAAAGTGAATGTAAAAGTGAACCCTCTTCCAAAGTCAGAAGTTGTAGGGGCAATCAAACAGAGCAAATGGGGAAAAGCACCAGGCTCAGACGACATATACATAGAGGTTTTAACAATGTTGAGTGAAGACAATATAGACACCTTGGTAGATCTTTTTCATGTCATTTATGGATCCGGTCAAATACCATAGGATTGGCTTGAATCAACCTGTATACCAATTTAAAAAAAACAAACGCTAATAGTTGCGACCAATTCCGAATAATCAGCTTATTGAACCAGGTCCTAAAACTCTTCTTAAAGATAATTCACACAAAAATATACAACAGAAATTAAAGAGACATTAGCTCCACACAGTTCGGTTTCAGACAAGGATTTAGCACAAGAGAAGCACTTAATAGCTTAACTGCCCTACTTCAAAAATGCAGAGATCAGCAAAAATATGTCTTCCTATGGTTTATAGATTACCAGAAAGCGTTCGATTGTTTTAATCATTCAGAATTAGTAAGATTGATCCAGGAACGTTCGAAAGATGAGAATGACCTTAAAATCATTAAGAACCTTTATATGAATCAACTGGCATCTGTAAGAGTAGGACTGGAATCTACATAGTATTTCTCAATCGAAAAACGTGTACGACAGGGTTGTGTTCTGTAACCCCTCCTTTTTAATCTTTATTCTGAAACGATTTTTGATAGAGCCTTAAGTGACACTGAAGATGGAGTCAAAATACACGGACATACTATTAGTAATTTTCGCTATGCTGATGATACAGTCATTATAGCTGCTACCCAAGAAGCGCTACAACGACTAATATATAGAATAAACACTGAAGGAGAACGACTGGGCTTGAAGATTAATATAGACAAGACGAAGGTAATGGTGGTTAGTAAAACACGAAATATGCAATCAAATATAAGAGTAAACAATAAGAACATCCAAAAGGTCCCCAAGTTCAGATATCTCGGTAGTTGGATAACTTAAGATCTAGATCTAGACATAGTGATATGTAGCAGGATTGAGCAAGCCAGAACAGTATTTACTAATATGAGAACCTTACTAAGCAACAGCAGCCTTAACTTAACGCTTCGATATCGCTTTGTAAAATGTTACATTTACTGCATACTGCTATATAGAGTACAAACCTGGACCATAAATGCCAATGTGATGAACCGATTGAAGGCCTTTTAAATGTGGGTATTTAGTAGACTACTTAAAATTCCTTGTGCATGTAACACAACAAATGTCGAAGTGGCGAGAACGAGAATTGCTACCAATAATAAAAAGAAGAAAAACTGCTTATCTGGGTCATATATTTCGAAATATATAACCCAATTCGAAGTATATACCAGTTATTTAAGCTTATTATGGAAGGGAAGATAGAAGGAAAACGGGGCATCGGAAACAAGAAATACTCACGGCTTAAAAACATAAGGGATTGGACAAACCTCGATGCCCATGCACTCTTTAGAGCCACACAAGATCGAGAAGAGTATGCCAGAATTGTTGCCAACACCCACTTGTTGGATAGGGCACCATAAGAAGAAGGAAAATTAACAGAAAAAAGACAGAAGAAATATCAAAATAAAACTATGTAGGTCTTGTAGCTATGTAGGTTCAATTGATTTAGGGTCGCAATTCTCTCTCTCTCTCTATTACATTCACTACTTTTCGCAGATTATCAAGTCACTTTCGCACAAGACAGGGAGGATATGGAATATAGGATAAGGAAATTAAAGGAAGAACATGAACTTTGGGGACTCAAGATAAATATGTGCAAGACCGAATACTTATGTATTGGACCCCCAGGTTGCAGATTTGAACTTAAGTTTAGAAGAAGAGACTATTAAGAGTTGTAAGACTTTTAAGTATTTAGGGTCAATGATTAGCCGAAATGGTACTTGTATGAAAGATATAGAAATGAAAATAGCACGGGGAAAAGAAGCCACAAGAGCACTTTATGGAGTGATATGGAACAACACTATAACCAAAGAAAAGAAAAAGAGAATCTTTCAGAGCATAGTGATAAGTATTACCCTGTATGGAGCGGAAGTATGGCCAATGACAACAACAATACGAAATAAAATAAGAACGAAGAAGATTTTATGAGAAGGTGTCTACAAATCACAAGAGCTGATAGAATAAGAACGGAGGAAATATGGAACAGAATGGAAGTAGATTGCTCAATTACAAAAAAGGTGGAAAACAGAGCCCTGCAGTGGTACGGGCATGTACAAAGAATGCCAGAGCATAAGTGGCCGAAAGGATTAAACAGGGACCCGCCGGGAAAAAGACGGAGAGGAAGACCTTCTACAAGATGGAAAACATACATCCGAAATGCTTGATAGATAGAGACCTCAGAGAAGGTGACTGGGAGAATAGAGTGCTGTAGAGGACGAAAACGGCGAACTTATAATGGGAAAAGCCGAAGAACAAGAAGAAGAAGATAACCAAGAAGTTAATCATAGAGAAAAATCGCGAGAGCGACACACAAAATATTGATTTATGCAGTAACAAAAAAGTTTATTACATAAATTTAAATTTTTGGTTCAATTATACTAGAAACCCTTATTCACACTAAATAGATATATAGTCATCTTTTAACTGTATAAAACTTTTTTAATTGTTAGTGTAAAATAGCATAAAAGTAAGATTTATATTATGTAGCAAAATGGCTATAACAATTATGTAAATCTTACCTGCTATATCAAATAATTACTATTAACTAATCAATTTAACTGTTTCTTGATATTATCGTTATTTCATTTTGCTGAAGAGGAAATAAAGCCATTGGCGTATCCATTTGTACTTCTTATATTTTTGTTTTCACAAAACTAGTACATAATATAACACTGGATACTTTTGTTTTCAACACTTCTACAAAATTTATTATAATTTATCACTAGAGCTGTTTCCGCAGAGTGTTTTTCTCAAGTGATCTATTTTTTGTATGTTTTTATACTTTATACTTACTCACTTACTTACTCCGTGGCGTTACAACCCTTCGTGGGTTTTAGCCGACTCGACAATATGCCTCCACTGTTTTCTGTCTTGAGCAACCTCCATCCAATTCTCTACGCCCATAGTGCTTAGGTCTCCTAGTATATTATCTCGCCACCTCCCACACAAGTCTTACTGTTCGTTCTCAGAATGTCTTCTGAGGTGCCCTGCCCATATGAGTCTTCTGGACTTTATTTCTTTTACGATGTTGGCGTCTGGGTAAAGTTCTTCGAGCTCTTTGTTAGTTCTTATCCTATATTGTCCTGGTGCTTCATCCAGCACAGGACCACAGATCATCCTTAGGATTTTTCTTTCCCAAACACATACTCTCTTTTCATTTGCCTTTGTTATCGTCCACGTTACGCTTCCATACATCACAACGGGTCGTATGATTGTTTTATAGTCCTGTATCTTCGTATGTCGTGTTAGTTGTTTTGATTTTATAAGGTTTTGGAGGGCAAAAAGACATCTGTTGCCGGCCTGAATCATGTTATTTATTTCTTGTGATCCGTTATTGTCTTTAGTTATTGTTGTTCCAAGATACTTGAATTCTCTAACGCGCTCAAAGTTAAAGTCATCGATGGTGATGT